CCGAGAAGTTTGACAAAGACAAGCTCGGATAAGGCAAAATGAGACCGTGAAGTGCAGATCATCCCATTATGTCCCCAAAGAAACCTGCAAAGTACTGGTGACGTGTGATTATGACAAAAATAATGGAGTTGATATTAACAGAAGCGTTCATGGTTTCTTGACAAAGTAGAGAAGGCGAGTGAGGAAGAAAGCCAGAAGAGATGAAGTTGAAGCAGGGAGGTAGGCGTAGGCGTAAAGCGTACATAAGGTGATTATTAGATGATAAGTATATCATTGTATAGTTAAGATATCGATAGATATTATTCTCTGATACCATGTAAAAGATCTAGTTTCCTTGAAGATTACTTGCATTGATACGTTGGTTATATAATACATACAAGTGAGATATTCTAGGAGAATATACAGAGAATAATATCTATCGATATCTTAACTATACAATGATATACTTATCATCTAATAGTGATCTGCAGCTATGCTTATAATGGGGACAGCGGTCGCTCCAAGAACCCCCCACCCCCAACTGAAACGTGTCTGCGCTCCAGACAAGAACCTGAACGTACCGAGACTCACCTCACCGCCTTTGAAACTCTTAGCTTCATGAGCCATAGCACCTGTTATGACAAAAAAAATAATGGTGTTGATAACAGAAGCGAAACGTTCATGGGGTTTTTGACAAAGTAGAGAAGGCGAGTGAGGAAGACGCCAGAAGAGATGAAGCTGAAGCAGGGAGGTAGGCGTAGGCGTAGGCGTAAGCGTACATAAGGTGATCTGCAGCGCTTAAGAAACCGAGAGGAGGGTGTAAGAGAGAAGAAGCTTTGTGTTGAGGAAGATGTATTATGTAGGAAGTAAGATGAGACATCCAGCGACAGCGACCCAAGGAGATGCATGGGGGTAGTGTTGTTTCATCCATTACAAGTCCTGAAGGATTATATATGCATGGATTTACAGTAAATTCTGCAAAAGTTGACTTGAGAGTCTCTGCAAAAGTTTCAAAGAAGCACATGAAGAACAATCTATGGAGGCCTGTAAAGTCAGAGACAAACAGGCATAATAAAGACAAAACACTGGTGAAAATACTATCAAGACGAGTCTGGTCTGAATGCGCTAACAACATATGAAAACAGGATTGTTCAACACGAAAACACATGGAACTGTTAAGAAAGTTTTTTTTGTAATAACCCATGAGAAGAAGTTGTCGAGGATTAGAATCAAACTAGACATTACTAGTTACCTCCAGTGCTTCGCACAGATAAATTAATCTTACTGTTGATCTTTTTTAACTAAAAAAAATATATATATATATATATTTTTTGTGTGCAGAAATCATAAAGTCTTAAAGCTTATCAATTTATCAAACTAAATTATCTATTTTATCACATATTTTATAACCCTAAATAACACATCGGAACATAAACTTCTTATATATTAAAACAGAAGTTATGACTTTGTTATTGTGTGATTTTTATTATTTGGACCATCTCTTAATTCTTAAAAACTATTATAACAATGCTAATCTTTTTTGGTACAAGTATATTACAATATTCAGTTACCAATCCATTAAAAAAAGAATAAGTATCGCTTAAAAATAGGGATTTAGGGAACCATCTAAATCCAACCAATTATTCATGTCAGACCATCTCAAGTTTGAGTAATAGAATAGCCTTTTGATGTTAAAAAAAAAAAAAAACCCCATGAGTTCAAAAGTTATGTATTTGAGCAAAATATTTTATTTTACATACACACACAATTTATACTATTCTATAAAGTACTCATACAAATTGTGTATATGCTATTTTTCATGTTCAAAAATACATAATGAGTAATTGTAGGGTGTACCAAAAATTGTAAGAAGATTATAAACAAAATTCTGTTCTCTTTCTAAACAAGTTTTAGTTTGTGTTTGTAGAAAATGTAGATAGGAGCAACCTTGAGTAATGAGTGACTCTACTGCTTCCAAGTTCTAACCATTTGAATATACTACCGGATTATGTCAGGATTATATCAGTAGTTAAAATTGGTTAAATACATAAAACAATTTACTAATATGTATATATATATATATATCTATTATATTAACAGATTTTTTTTTCAATAATAAACCCAAAAACCAAACCATATAATCAACTATATGATTTGTATTATTCGTAACAGAGTAGATTTGATTTTAATAGAGTAGATGTTGATTTTGTAACCGAACATGGTAATCTGTTTAGAGTCATCCACAGATTCTTACAACATCTCAGAATTTAAATTCATCTATCTCATCGATCCGCCAATTCTTCTCGAAAAAAGTGTGTACTCTGGTGGCAATGCCATGTGTATTTTCGCAGACCTTGCAATCGCCATCTAAACACAATATGATCAACGTCTCACACTTATATCCGGCAATCTCGTTAAGAAGGTTTTCAGGTTCACGTTTACAAATTGAATAGCCACATCCATCACCTAGAAATCTACAATGTGAGAGGTTAAGGATCGTTAGGTTTTTGAGGCTTGTGATGAGAGGCAAAACTCTACCAATATCAATGATGTCGCAAAAACGCAAACTCAGCTTCTTGAGGTTTGTAAAGCAACGAACGATTTCCTCAACTTCAACTTTGTTAAGGCAACCCATAATTTTCAAGTTGGTGAGGTTTATACAGTTCTCTCCGCAAGATTGAATCGTGTGTCTCCAGGTTAATGATAAGTGACGCTGATCAATGATTAGGGTTTGGAGATTCTTCCACTGCCTGAATGCTAACTGATATGAATTCTCACTTATATGACTCCATCGTGGTAAGGCAAGCTTTCTTAATCCTAAGAAAAACAAAAAAGTGAAGAGAGCTAGATGAAGCAAACAGGGCTTGTAAGGATTCTAGCTTGGATGTATAATATATATTATATTTTTTTTAGCTTGGATATATATATTTATGAGCTTGGATAATATTTACCTCTGCGCAGCGATGATGAGATCCTCATCCTTTAAGTAATTATCATAGTTGAAGAATAAGTTGATGGGGACAGTGCTGCTGAATTTGGTGCTTTCAATCAAAATCATATTATAAAGGCACACATGTTCGTTTACCTTTTCATCTTCGGCCCGGGAGTTTGGTAATTGTGGATGGCTGAAGTTCACACGTTGGAGATTTGCGAGGTTGATGGTTTTCCAAAGAGATTTTTCGTGAGAGGCAAGGAAGCAAGAGATGCACACACGTGATGCTCCCATGGTAATATCTATTACGTTGAGCTTCTCGAAAATCTTGACCAATATATCTCTATCCATGTTTTGCCATTTCAGGCTTTTTCTTGATCTCGCCACCCTCACATTGCAGCTACATAAAAAATAAATACATTAGATGAAATATGAAAATGATGGATTCTTGAATTTATAAAGCAAAGTGAATATGAGAATAACATTGAACAAAGGAGAGATTTCACAGAGAGTTTCCATCTATGGGCTCTTCTTGGACCATCTAATCTCTTCATCTCAATGCACAGAAAAGAAGAGAATTAAAAAAAAATGAAACTATTGGAGATATTCTTAACGACTAAAGCAAAAGACGAGTGAATTTATGATATGAAAATCTGAGTGGACAAAACTTCTACACAAGACAAAGAGGCAAAGAGCAGCTTGGTTATGTGTAAAAAGGTCCACAATAACTCGCTATCTAAGACATATCATGTGCAGCCCATAAACTATAATCATACACACCAAACCTTTTGTCCTCATCACACTTGACTTTTTGACACCAGCAAACAAACGTCAATACTCGAGAGTTTAAAAGCCCAACGACTGGAAGCCAATGATGGGGTCTTCTCTCCGGTCTTAGGCAGAGCAGCAGAGTATTTCTACCTACCGTAAATAAGAACCACCCCCTTCAAGAGTTGGGTGCCAGGAAACCCGTGGGGCGTGGAGTACACCTAGCAGAGCTGAGCCTCCAAAACAGATGTTTGTTGGAATCAAAATCCGTCATATCAAGATCAATGGCCAAGATTGTTATGAAAATAAGAATTTTTTTCGTAAAGGTTAATGAGTCGTAAATTTTGAGATAACAAGTCTACATATGATGCACCTAACGTAAAAAAGCTATACAAAAGTTATGCATTAGATATGAAAGACACAAACTCTTTCCAAAGAAACTTAAGGGGGTTATTGGCAATACAATTCTCATCAACTTTGAAAATTTCAAAATTTTATTATTATTGGTTTATGGCTTTTAGAAATCTAGTAAAATATCTTGTTATTGGTTTAAGAATTTTCAAAATTCATTCAAATCTATTATTCCAAAAGTCTTGTTATTATTTATTCTCGAATTCTAATCAAATCTAGTGTTATTGGGAGAAAAAATTCTTTATATTTTTACTCATAGACAAAACTTTTAAATATCATGTGTATCCATAAGATTTTCAAAATCCATGTGATAAAAATGTGAAAACAGAATAATTATTCTTACCAGATATCTATTGCACATTCAGTCAAAATTACAACTCATTACATTTATACACTTATTTTTTGAATGTATTAATTATATTTTTTATTTTTATCAATAAATAAAAATTAAAAATAATATATGAATTGCTAAACAAACATACTCTTTCCGTTTCGATTTACTTGTCGTTGTATAGAGTAAAATTTACGTTTTAAAATAAGTGTCGGTTTATAATTTCAATGGAAAATTTATTAACTTTATCTGCTATTCTATTGGTTAAAAAATGAGTTAGGTGTATATGTAATTATTTTTTTTATTTCGAAAATATGTAAAATTAAATGTTTTCTACTTTTTTAATCTGTGTGCAAAAACCTAAAACGACAATTAAAATGAAATGGAGGGAGTATAATATAGTTAAATTTGTTGATATAATATTCATTTTATGATATTATCATAGTGTTATATGTATCTTTGTTGTATTGTTTTTTAACAAACAAATATATTATTCAGAAAAAAACAAATAATCATGTTATTCAAAGAAAAATATTTCCTGAACACTTTAGATAATAAAATCATATATTTACTTTACAAAAGGAATGATGAAAAAGGAAAATATAAATTCATGATAATTTGTAGCAATCTAAAAAGGTTATGATCAAATTTTATAAATCAATATATATGTATTGTCATACTCTACATAACTTTTAAAATCTACAAACTCTACACAAATTCAAGTGCCAATAACCCACCCTTAAGAGTATTCGTAAATAAGAACTGTCCAAGAGCGCTTCCTCACAACAAAGAACATAGTAGACTATTCTATAAAAAATTTAAGCAACAACTTAGAATGAGCGAGATGATCTTAACCAACATGAGTTGATTATTAGGAGTTTCAGGAACTTATCAAACAAAATCGTATTGCATGTTTAGAACATGAAATCAGCGGAAGTTAGTTTCTAGGATTCATATACATATATAGGTTTAGTTAGGTCTAGGTTTAGCATTGCAAAAGTATGTTAATCTAGTCACATTTTTGAGTTCAAAAATGTTTCTTAATGCATTCCAGATCTATCACTTGTTTCATGATCTCTGTTTCTTGATAATTACTCATTGCCTAACGCTTTTAATCCACAAGCTTTTAATCTATACGCTTACGGTGTTGTTTGTTTCACCATTTATCATCTCCATCCAGCTAATTCATCTAGATGGTCCATCCACATTTTTGAGATTGTTTGTTTGTTCATCCAGATGGTCCATCTAGATGGATCATCTAGATGGACTCATGTTTGTTTTTCTGTTTTTCTTCTCCATCTAGATGAGTTTGGTAAAAAATTACTAAAATACCTTTGTTTTGATTTAGTCATATGTATGATATTAATTTTAAATATATTAACATTTAGAATTTTGATGCGAAAATGCGTTTTTGCGGATTTGGCAGAAAAATAGGTTTTTCCGGAAAAAAACATGGGGAATTGCGGTTTTGGCGAGAAAATATGTTTTGGCGGGAAAACGCATTTTTGTGGTTTTAGTTGGAAAATACGTTTTTGCGGTTATAGCAGGGAAACACGTTTTTGCGATTTTAGCGAAAAAGCGTTTTTTGTGGGAAAAATGCGTTTTTGCGGGAAAACGCGTTTTTGCAGAAAAATGTGTTTTTGCGATTTTGGCAGAAAACGTATTTTTGAGGTTTTTATGGGAAAAATCATTTTTCCATTTTTACGGGAAAACACGTTTTAGCGAAAAAACGGATTTTTGTGGTTTTGGTAGGAAAACATGTTTTTGCGGTATTGACGGGAAAACCTGTTTTCGGTTTTTACGAGAAAATGTGTTTTGGCGGAAAAATGGGTTTATGCGGTTTTGGTAGGAAAACGTGTTTTTGCAGTTTTGGCGGGAAAACGTTTTTTTGTGGGAAAAATGAGTTTTTGCGGTTTTAGCGAGAAAACGTGTTTTTTACGGTTTTGGCGGAAAATGCGTTTTTGCGGTTTTCGCGGGAAAATGCGTTTTGGCGGAAAAAATAGGGTTTTGCGGTTTTGGTAGGAGAACGTGTTTTTTGCGGTTTTGGCGAGAAAACGCGTTTTGCGGAAAAACGAGTTTTGGCGGAAAAACGAGTTTTTGCGGTTTTAGCGAAAAAACGTGTTCTACGGTTTTGGCGGGAAAAATGCGTTTTTGCGGTTCTGGCGGGATACACATTTTTGCGGTTTTAGCTGGGAAAAAAACGTTTTTATGGTTTTGGTGGAAAAGCATGTTTTTGCGGTTTTGGCAGGAAATCTGTTTTTGCGATTTTGGCGGAAAACACGTTTTTGCAGTTTTGGCGGAAAAACGTGTTTTTACGGTTTTGATGGAAAAATGCGGTTTTGTCATTTCAGAAAATGTGGTTTTGTCGTGTAAGTTACAAAATAATAGCATGTTTAGGTTTGTAATTTATGAATTATATAAAAGGGTACAATAGACATTATACAATTTTGGAAGAACCATCTCCATCCAGATAGTTTAATTTGGTCCATCCAGATGGACTTCAAAATTAAACCTAAAATTTCAAATTCATCCGGATGATCAATCTAGATGAGTTGTACTTTTAGTGTCTAAACAAACGAAACTCTTATCTCTATCCAGATGAGTCATCTAGATGGTGAAACAAACAGACCCTACATCGTTTATTTTCTGCTGTTTACGTTACTGCAATTTGGTTACATAAACAAACACCCATTTGTCCTAGCTTGACTTTGCAGTTTGATCTTTGATAATTCGATCTCTAAGTAATATTGCGCACTACTATACATGCACTTGCAGTCTTTATTTAATGGTTAAAACCTAATCACATAACGGTATGATACCGTGGGTTGTTTGGGAGCAAATTTTGCTAATAGCAACCTTTAGTCTCAGTGGATCCGAAGAGCTGGCTTGAACATTGAGGGATGATCGTAACTAAAATGAACATAAAGGATGCAATAAAACCCATTGTTTATATCATCCTTGTAATGTTTTAATCCTAATGTTTGTTATCTTGTTGTTCTCAGATAATTTCGAAACTACTTGCATCCATAAATTTTTCTACTTATACCCACAACTAACGTGTTTACAACTTTAAATGAATTAAACTATTATTAATTAATGTCAACATTCCATAAATTCTCGTCTTCAATAAAAAAGCTTATAAACAAAATGTTATATTTACAACCATTAGACCTTTTCATTCATCCATAAATTCTCTTGAGAGCACCCCAGTGGCGGATCCATTCATAGAGGAGGGGTGTCATGTGACACCCCATAAATTTATAAAACCTTAAAAATATGCTTAAGAATTTGATGCAATTTTGGTAGAAATTATCAATTGACACCTCTAAAACAGTGTTTAATCCCGGCCTTGACACCTCTTAAATCATTGGCTGGATCTGCCACTGGAGCACCCTCGGGTTATACAACGGCGATTCACAACAATTAGACCTTATCCTTCATCCTGCAGGTTAACTTAGGATATAGGAAGAGCTTGTTTAGGATTATATTGCTGCAACATGATTTGAATTTCATCACGTAGCTCTAGTTAGTCAAGCTTTGATTTAAGTTTGATGTTATGAGTCTTTTTACTATTTTTTTTTTATGGCTCGTAGAATAGAATATAGCTAACAGATCCAACGTTCTCTTGTAATCAGATTTCAATTACATCAACAATTTATAATGATATTTACATTTTTAGCCAAAAAGAAAAGTTTTATCAAAATAAAAGTCCTCCCTCCAATCCGTCCACGCCACCTCGGCATATCTGATGTGCATCTCCTCACCTAACTCTTACGAAAAATTCTCACGTGTGGTATATACGCGAATATACAACTAAAATCTTTGTTCGTTACAAACCAAAAATTAAAATCTTATTTGGTCCGTGATAATGACCAAATCGTAGTAAACCGGGTCGGATAGTAAATCCTCGTCAAAGTGAACCATTTTCTCCCCTTTTTCTATATAAACAACTCCTCACTTTAACTTCTCCTCCCCCATTCTCCTCGTATTCCTCAACCACACCGAAGAAAGAAAGCCATGCCTCACACTCTCGGCCTCACTCAT